GTTCCCGGGTCCCGGGGTGCAGGGCGGCGTGGGCGCGGTAGGGAGCGGAGGGAAGCGGCCGATCGGCCCGCCCGCCGCGGGGTCCGCGCCTCGCTCCTCCCTCGGGGGGTCTTCGGAAGTCCCCAGGCAGGCGAGGCCGCGGGTGGCGTGACGTGGAAGGGCTTCCTGTGGCTCCCGAGAAGACGCGTTCACGTGGGAGCCTGTCCACATGGGCCGAGTTGCAGGAACTGGGCACGTGGAAGCCATCTCGCCGCAGGACGCCCCGCCACCGGTTGGGAAGGGTCCTTCCCCCCCCTCCCCGAGTGTCTGCTCCCACAGTGACACAAAGCACGAGTTCAGAGACAGTGCAACCTACCGCCTTCTAGAAACTTTCATTTAGGTCTCCGTTGTTAAGGGCGGTCACTGGCGGGTGACAGGTTTCTTTCATGCTTTCTTTTGGATGTATCTAGTGATAATTAAAAAAGCGATGCAAGGCCTTGAGCCTGAGAATTGTAACAGTACGATCGGGAAAAAGCAACAAAGCAAGACTCCCGTGTCCAGTGTCAGATTAGGATCCCCTGATCCCCACGTACCCCGTGAGTCATATCTTCGGGACATTGGGAGTTCGTCCCACACACCCCACTTCCGGTGTGCGTGGAATGTTACATTGGCAAGACACATCGGTGTTGAGTGCTGCGAAGAAAATTGGAGTTTTCTTAACGTTTGTGTTTTCCAGACTAAAGGGTTTAGATGGTGTCTATAGGTAGGATACAATGAGTTGTTAGTTACATTGAAACAGTTACGGGGAAACTACGTGGTTGTGGTGGAGCAAGCCAGACGTTAATAAAACCTCAAATAACCAACCGTTCTGGCCTGCCTGCTGACTAACTTCAAGCTAGCAAGAACTAAATAGTCTTTACAGGATTTGTTTCAGGCTTTTTATATCTCCTTGTCTTCTTGGCCTGTATTCAGAAAATGCTTCCCCACCGGAAAGGATGTTTCAGTGCCTTTAATCTCTCCCCAAATTGACAGAACCGAATTCTACCGACTAATGAGGGCAAGAATAACCTGGGTGCTACTTAAAATAGGTGGGAAGGTGTTTCCTTCTGTGACACCTGAAGGCACACCCAGACCTGTAAGCCCAGCGAATTTGGGAGACTGAGGAAGGGAGCTGTCAAGTTCCAGTTCTGGAATCTGTCTCAAAAAAGTTAAAAAAAAAAAAATCTCATAGCTCAGTGACTCAGAGACTTGCCTAGGGCTTCAACGAAGCTCGGCTCAGTCCTCAGTACTGCAGATACACGCACATGTGTGTGGCCGTGTGCATGCTTACATTCATGAGCTGTGCAGGTGAATGCCCTTCACCTGAAATGAAGTACTAGTTTTGTGTCCGGATTTGGGGATATTCGCACATACTAAATAATGAATTTCTTGTGCCCAGGTCTAAACACGAATTGCAGTTTTGTTTCGTGTAGGCCAAATGCACAGACACTGAAGGTAATTTTACAATATTTTTTCTGCATGTGCAGTTTGAGGCCTATGAAAACGTGAGGTGTGGATGCTAGCCCAGCTACTGCGTGTTAGTTCCCGCAGCACTGTGGATTTGGTAGCCTCTCAGATTTTATACTGAAGTGCTCCCTCTCTTAGGTCTCCCCGTTATGGTTTATAGTTCACTGATAGGTTGTAAACTATTACCGTCTTTCCACGGTTTTGTTCAGACTTTCGGTTTTGATCCGTAGTTTACCCGGGTAGCCCTTGTGTACCTGGAACTCGGGATCCTCCTTCCTTAGTCCTGGGAGTCACGGTGGCTCTCTCCTGTTTGAATCCCTGGGGTGAAGGACTTTGAGGAGGCCTAATGTTTAGCCTGCAGGCAGTGGTCTAGGAAGCCTGAGTGATGTACAAGAAGATACGGTATGTGCAGCAGGGGAAATCATTCAGGAGTTGAGCTGATTGAGTTTGCTCACATCGTCTTTCCCCCGCCCCTTCTGAACTCTGGGTATTGAGCAGTCCTGGTATAAATTTAGGAATTTGGAGTGAGGTTAAATATTTAAAACCTGGGTTTACTGTTAACTAATTCGGTTACCTGTACAATTTGCTTTAGACTGTGAACTTGAACTATTATAAAACTCACCACAGGAGTTTAATAAGGCCATTGATGACGAACCGAAGAGCTTTTTTTCTAATCTTTTGTGCATCCAAACTTTAATTATTGAACTTACTTTCTCTCTCTCTCTCTCTCTCTCTCTCTCTCTCTATTTTTTTTTCCCTGCTAATTGATTAACCCCAGGATGATACTTAATGATTTCTACTTAGGTCTTTGAGAGGGCACATCTCTTAAGCCCATACCTCATAGCTAGTAACTGATAACTGTAGATTTGTTTTTGCCTTTTTTTTTTTCATTTTTATTCTGTAGTTACATGTGTATGGGTTATTTTTAATTAAAAATTATTTTTACGGAGTCAGATTCCTGAAGGGAAGCATATACCCCAGAACTTTCTGTTACGAAGTGTCCGTGTGCCATGACTCATCCAGGGACAGGGTATAGAGAGCTGTTCTGTCAGGGTTAAACCTATCTTTAATTTAAGATCCCCTGGATAAAACATGCCCACCGTGCAGCGCCTGTGTCAGGACTGGAAGTGCAACTGAGTTTTGTATCAAAGGGACACTGTCGCCTAGTACATTGCAAAGCAATATTCACAAATTGAACAAAATAGACCACTGAAAATGGAAGAAAAATACTGGCAATCAAAACAGCTTCTTAATCACAGCGGTTTAATTGTAAGCCATCTTCCAGTAGAGTGTAATTCATGTTAAAAATATACAGAAGGCTGTGGGTCTTGTAGGCAGCTTAGTCGATGAGTTAGCTGCCGAGGTCGATTCCTGGGTTCTATCTCTAGCCCTACGGCAAAGTGAATAAATACAGTCAGTCTGTCTTTGAGTTAGTTGCCTGGTCTAATCTTCAGCAGTTTGCTGCCCCCTCGTGTTTGATTTACCTTGACGTTTCTTGGCTCCTGCCCTCTAAACTAAAATTAGAACCTGCCTTCCTGTTGATACCTATGGATTTCCTCTAGCTGATTGCTGCTGCCAATAAAAATGTGTATCTACTTTTTTTTTTCCAAGCTGATTGTGTTCCCATACATTTAGTCCCTCATTTTCCAAATATGAAAAAATTTGGATAGATGGAAAATCAAGTTACATTTCAAAAGAATATATGGGCTTTCTTTTTAAATTGCAAAAGCAATTTGTTAAAATTAGAGAGGTGTTTGAAGTTAGCTTTGTATATGAGTAATGTCAATATTATTCATTTAAGCTGGGCTTTTTGTCTTGAAAAGGGTGTTAAGCTTTCTGACTTAATTTTTCCCATCTAACTTTATGTTGTACTGATAATAAAGTTTGAAAATGTCCGATTCACAAAAGAAAGTCTCCAGTTTCTTATCTTTACCAGTAGATTTGTCAGTCTTTTATGGTTTCAGGTTATGCTAATAACCAGTTTTCCGAGACATTTGTTTTTACTCTTTAAGATCTGTGGGTGGGCTACAGTCATGTTTAGATTTTTTTGAAATCAGAAAACACTTTACTTTTCAATAAAAACTTACTGGAACATCTAAAAGTGTTCAATAGGTATAAAATAATTCATAACGTCAGTGAAAAGGTTTAAATAACAGCAAAGTTACTGAAATTATTCCCAGACTCTGTAGGTCACCCATATTATTTAGAAATGTTATAAAACAACCATTTAGTGTTGTATTACAAAATAGTATTGAGTTTATTTTCCTAATTCCTTTGAATAGAACATACTCAGGATTACAGCCACCTAGGTAACAGGGACAGGGAACTTAGTGAACTTTTTAATTAAAAGATGTCCTAATCGAAATAATTTTAAAAAAGTAAAGCAGGACTTGGGCTAATTCCAAGGTAATACTACTGTTGCTGAGAGTGATGTAATTACACTGTTGGTGGCCATATAACAGAGCCGAGTCTTTTTTTTTTAAATATTTTTATTTTATTATATATACAATATTCTTTCTGTGTGCATGCCTGAAGGCCAAAAGAGGGCACCAGACATCATTACAGATGGTTGTGAGCCACCATGTGGTTGCTGGGAATTGAACTCAGGACCTTTGGAAGAGCAGGCAATGCTCTTAACCACTGAGCCATCTCTCCAGCCCCCTCCTCGGAGTAATTTTGTAATGTCAGGAAGCTGGTGTCTTGGGATGAGTCCTTCCTACTACTGAAGTTGAGTGAACCTGATAGGCCTTGGCTGTGCTAGTTGGTCCTGTTTGTGCCCTTGAAATGTTTTGATAACATTTTGTTAAAGCCATTACAAAGGGTCTTTTCTCCCTCGTTTTTGTATAATTTTAAGTCAAGCAATAATATCACTTGTAATAATAGTAGTGTCTTAATTGCTTTCCAGAGCAGTTTAGAATGCATTGTGTTAGGTCCTTTAGTAGATGAGCGTAGATGTTAATCTACTTTGCTTTATTGAGGACAGATAGTGGCAGTGCTGGGGTAAATATAATATATATATATATTTTTTTAAAAAAATAGTTTTTCTGAGTGCTTGTCTGCAGTGCTCTATACAAGATGGTGCATCTGTGAATGCATCATCAGAAGTGGGGATGACTTCCCGGGAGCACTCCCGCTCATAACTCACACTTCAGTAACATTTACATAATGCAAGGTAGGAAAATAAAAACGGAAGCCATTTACCACTTAAAAATATTGTATGACTTTTTATTTTGTTCTTAGTTAACGGTGAAACAAGCAGGGATCAGTGGCCCCACGTTCTAAGTGATAAGATTTTAAATGTTATTATTTACCTAAGGACTCATAGCTAATAAGGCAGTCTAGTCTTTAACAAATCTTTCAAAAAGTTATTTTTGATATATAAATTTATATTTATATAGAAATAAAACTTTACTATATGTGCATATACGTGTGTGTGTGTGTATGAATGAGCTGTACACAGACATGTGTGGAAGCCATAGCACAGCTTTGCAGAGTTGGTTCTCTCCTGAGACTCAAACTGAGGCTGTTGGGTTTTGTTGCAGCGCCCTCTTCTGTCCCCTCCCCTTCCGACAGACTTGACACCCTGCCTGATCCTTCCACACATCCAGGCTCGTCCCCACTTCTCACCTTTCCTGCGGATGTCATTGTTGATTGACAGAAGGAAACTATCCTATCCGGGCTTTCATGAGGAAGTGCTGTGATGAAACCTTGGGAAAAAGTTGGTTTTCAAATTTGCACACTGTAGATCCATTGTCACGAGGGAATTGTACGTGTGCACTAAACAGGACACACTTCCGTAACCCCAGTTGAGCAGTTCAGTGGTTTTTCTTTGAATTTCTACCTCCCTGCTTTTTGCTTTTCAAAATAATAACTGAGAACATCAAAAGGGCTAGCAAAGGAACTCGCAATACTTTCCTGTTCGTGTTTATTACTTGTGTGTCTGAGAGGCAACCGAGGAGAGGCAAAATTCTCTTTTTTTCCCCCTTTTTAATTTTTGAAAGTGAAGCAGTTAGATACCATATAGCGTTCATGCTGTCCTGACTGCCCTTTCTAGAACCCAGTGTTGGGGATAAGTTGTTTACTACTGGTGTTTTTTCCT